TTAAACTGGCCTCAAGATGGGACAGCAGAGCCAATGGTGGGATGGATCTGTCACTGTCCCCAGAAATGGCCCAAGTGGATCCTACCAGGGAATGGACATTGTGCAGGAAGGGAAATCTCTGAAATGCAGCTCCCTCAGGAGATGAAAGAATCACCCAAGGCAGTGTTTTGAAGATAGCCTGGAAGAGCAAGAATGGTGGGAACTCTGCATGACCAAGATCTTGGGGATGGGGCAAAGGGAGGGGAAAGGAGGGGTGCAATATGATCCCATGGGGATGTGTGCTCCTGCAAAGGAGACCCAAAATGAGGCTTCTGTGTCCCCCGACTTGCTGCACAACTTGACTGTAAGCAGATGTACCCCAGGAGCAGAGGAGCACCACGCTGACTCCAGGCCCTGCTGTGCTCTTGGGGTGGTGCCCACTCCATGAAGTGGCTTTGGCAGGCCAACAGATCCCGTGTCCTGAATCCCAAGTGTGGAAGCAGGGAATCTGCCTGAGCATGCTGCACGTGATGTGATCCAACCATCAGAGGAGACAGGCAGCTGTGGAGAGGTGCCAGCTGTGAGGGCACCCCAGCCTGACAGTTGCCTGCTTTAGGGTAGGTCACCATGTTACCTCACTTATATCTTTTTATGGTTTTGATGGTTTTGCACATATTTTCATTGTGCTGTGCTTTGCTTTTGCAGTCATGTGTAAAAAACAGCCAGGATACATAAAAACAGGAAAGCTCTTTAATCTTAAGGTCATGAGAATGACACTTGACCTAGCAAAGCTACTTGTCCAGTTGCTTTGCTTCTAATACACTTGATTTTTTTCTTCAGTACTCACAGTGCTTCAAGCCTCTGGATTTCAGCTGTGGTTCCAACTATGAAGTTTTAGACAAGTGATGAGTCAAGGTACGTCTTGAGGGGACTATGGTAAACTAACAAATGATACTACCTCAGAAGAGCTCGGGACTTGCTCTTGCTCTCTTTCCACCAATTTCTTCTTTTCTTGAAATATATTCAAGAGTCTCATAAGCAAACTGGTGGGTTTTGTTCATTGCATGATTTTCTTCAGCTAGTGAATATTAATTCTCCTATTGGGTGAAATAATCAGAATAATGCAAAAAGACCCAAACAAGAGTTGCAAATTAAATGATGCTCTGATTACTTTAAAATAAACAAAGCAAGAAAAATACATTTACTTTAACACCTAAATTCATTGTATAAGCAGAATCAAGAGGCTGAAGACCAGAAGGAATGTTAAAAGTTCCAACGACCCTAAATCTTGGGTCATGCAATTTGAGCTTTGCCATTGGAAAACTGTTGCACATACATGCTGTGTTTTAAAAACAACACTGATGACCCTGCAAGAACACTCAATGGAAACAACTTCCCAAAATCACTCGAGTCTGTGTTCAAACTATTCGACTTCAGAGCATGGCTACAAGGCACAGATATCACTTGTGGAAGTCTCCACACCTAGACTGAACTTTGCAATGGTGCCTATCCTTTACGAATGCTTTCACTACAATTTACAGGAGGGGATCACCCTTGCACAGGGCAGCTCACCCCAGTTTGGCAGCAGACCAGGCCAGCTTGCATTTGGCATGAGCAGGGAATGGCCCTGTCCTACCAAACTCCAAGAGCGCTACTTGGCAGCATCAGACCACATGGAGCTTTTCTACAGCTGCATTGCAGGCGAAGAGCAGAAACCCCTTGTTTCAAACTCCTGCATTATCAGAAAACTTCTAGAGTTTCTCAGGCATTCAGCACAAACCCACAATCTGTCTGACTGAGGGAGAATGCCTTGCAGCGGGATCGGGTTTTATCCGGCACCAGGTACACTGATAACCCTCCCTAATCAGTCGCTGATCTCTGCTTGGTGAAAGCACTCCCTGTGGCATTTTTACTGAAGCTATTTTTAAATGACAGTGTGATATTTTATTTTCTTTTGCTCATTTGTCAACGAAGAACTGGCTGTGCCGCGCGTCTGCTCGGACAAGAAACTTCCAGTTATTTTTCAGCCCATTCCAGCTGGGATGGAGGCAGGGCTGGAGAAAGTGCTGGCTGCAGGCAGGGTGAGCCCTCTAGGGAGCAGCAACCCCGCAGACCTCTGCCTGGCGGGGTCCCCGGCTGTGGGAAAAGCCTTCTAGGTTTTTTTCTGACTGTGGTGCTCATTGTGTTTTAGGCTGGTTTCCACAATTGGGTTGTTTTATGTTTAGCTGAGCTGCTGTTTGCATGAATGTTGGAGTTTTGTTTTGCTGTGGGGTTTTTGTTTGGTTTTTTTTTGTCACATGAATTGCACTAGGTTTTCAAGGAATTACATTTTTAGGTTTAGGTTCGTGAAGTTCTCAAAGCGTGAACATCTAAAAATTGAAAATTAAAACCTGTTATGTCCAAATGGCATCACTGCATGGACAATTCGTGTTTCACCTTGTCAAACAGCTTTCCCAAATAGAGATGGAACAGTTTCCACCTCTTCATCCAAGTGCCTGGACATCACTGCATGTTTCACAAAGGGCTGCACGTTTCACATGTCATTTCTCTCAAAAATTCATTACAGAGTGGCACTAGCCACTTTCCATCCCTCTAGGTTTCTTCTGGATGAAGGAAATATAAAATGCTTGCTGGAATTTTGCTGATTCCCAAGCCCTCCACCCTTAAGCACTACTGGATGACAGTTGTCCCACAGTTGCATACCAAGATTTTCTGCCCCATCAAATTCAGACATGAATGGCTCACAAAAGATAAAACTCCACTGGGAAATATGGATTGTCTATGAGTGAGGGGCTATTGGATGCAAAACATGTCTAACTAAATCCTGGAAAATTACATTCTCTGGTTTTAAGTCCTCTGTTGGTACATGGGCCCAAGATTCCTGTTTTATCCCAGGATTTGTTCCACCACCTTCTCTCACATATGACATGTACAATACTGCTTCCCTACAGAGCTAATCCCACAGATTTGATCAAGATTACTGCTCAGGTAGCTTGAATACCATTCCATCTAGGAAACAGTGTTGGACCCAGTCTCAGGAGATGATCAGTCTCTGCGGTCAGTCCTAGGAGCAGACCTAGATCTTTACTAAAATTTGCTGCCCTGATCCAGCAGATCCAGCAGTTGGAACAAGAGGGAGAATTGCATCCCTTCTTAGCCTTAGCTCTGCCAATTCCCACCAGTTACTGAAGCTGGTTTTCACAGTGCAAAATCCAGTATAACTAGATTGAAACCAACATGCTTTTTTCCCATTGAGGATCTGACTTATATTCTAAAATCTCTTCAAATTTCCAGTTCCTAACACAAAAGCCATCGGGAAGACCAGATATAGCCTGATGGGTTTAATTTTAAAGATGTGTTGGACACTAATAATTTCTGCTGCCTTTGGTTAAGATCTCCAAGGCAATAATAACGGAAGCTTTAAAAATATGTCCCTTATTCATCATGGCTTTACGTCAGAAGTTTACTGCTGTAATCATTAACTAGCCTGCTGCATTATCTATGAAAATTGCTTGGTAATATTTATGAAATGTGACCTTTGTTAATTCAACGTTACAAAGTGTTAGATTCATTCTGTTTGCAAGTGGAACAGATTTCCAAATCACTCTGCAATTAGTACAGTTTGATCTAACCAGCCTATCTCTGCATGGGGTAGCCTTCTACTGAAACAGCAGGATCGCTGTCAGAAATGGAATGTATTTTCCGTATGGCTGAAAGTATGGCTGTGACACCTGCTTGCACTACATCATCTTTGGCAAAGGTAATTGCTGAATGAATATTCTCCATAAGGGAAAACAGTAACCAGACTAAGAAAGATTTTTGTTATGAGAAGTACCTCAATTAACAAAAATAAAAATATTCTTGACCAAAAATGATTGCTATGTGTAATATCATCAGCAGAAACCAAGAGAAAATAGGACAATGTTAGGCTGAAATGGGCACAATTAGCCATTCCACAATGGATACAGGTAAAGGAATTGCAAGTGACAACAGGAAGATTCAGGAGTCGAGATCCTTTGGTGTGAAATTCTCCAAATCACTCCCAAGGCCACCAGTAGGAGGGGATGGTAAGGTCCTTCCCCACCTAAAAAGTCCATCTTCCTGATCTACCTAATGCTACCACGGATTTCTGATTCTCACAGGACAACCTGTACAGCTTCAGCATATGTGGTGTTTTGGAGGAACCAAGTTTCCTTGGAGCAACAAATGTGTTGGACAAGCATCACGCAGTGAAGCCATGTGGCACCATTCAGCAGCAGATCACTAGCAATGTGTAGGGTCTGCCGCATTATTATCATATTTTTCCATTCCCAGAGCTCTGCATGGTCAGTGTCAGCACTCCCATTTTCAATACAGGATAACCAATGCTCACTCCAACTGGGATTGTCTCATGTGACACACCACACTGGGAACAAACTGAGCATCTACCTGTCCCTGCGTTAGTCCCCTGAGTTTGTCCACTAGCAATGGACAAAATCAGAGCTTGGTTTGATGAGCCAAGTTAAGCTCTGATGAAATCTCTACAGACTCATAAAAGACACCAGTCTGGCCCTGTGTTTGATTTTCCTCTAGCGTGACATCTGACTGTGCTTTCCTCTGCAGGAAACAAACATCCTCTTGGATAAAGCAGGGACTGGAAAGCCACAGAGACACTCACTCTCATGTTCTGCTCCCGATGTGAGAACAGAGAAGGAGGCTGAGGCAGAGTTGGAATGGGATGGGCAGCAGGTCCTCATCCAGGACAAGCTGGTGCAGCTGCCCTGCAGACAGCACAGCTCTACCAGGCCAAGGGTAGTTTGATGTGGAGGCAGCAGCACAGGCTGCAGAAAGCCCTGCCCACACTCTGCTGCCAGTCAGTCCTCCATGGTTCATGATTTGGTCCTAAAATTTGAAGCTGCCTGCAAGCCTGGGCAGCTGCCTGCAGTGCCTGATGAACCTCTCCTCTCCCTGTGTCCTTGACAATGTGCTGGAAAACAGAAGAGCTGCTAAGGAAACAAATGTGAGTTGTGCCTGTGAATTACCTGAGTTTCTTGGCGTCTGGCTGAAAACTGTGGCACTCGTTCCCAGAACTCACCAGAATCAGGGAATCCTCCTTCCTCCACGTCACTCCGCTGTTTCCCAAGGGAAAAGAAAAATATACAGACGTTTGAACAAGGAAATAGCAAGTGAGAATACAGAGACGTGTACAGGCTTTTATGATATGGTAACTGGGTAAAAAACAGGCTCCGTAAGTACCGGTACCAGGAGCTGCAGCATTACCTGCTAGTGGCAGTCAGGAGAGGGTCCCTCTGACAGGCTGCATTCAGCACAGCCCACTTACCCTCCAGGTGCATTTATTTGGATGCCTATCCCATTTCCCAGAATTGTTACCTAACACAGGAAAATTTGGAAGGGGTTAAATCATTTGCTGTGAACCAACTGTCAAGAAGGAGAAGATTTGAGAGTGAACATGTGAAACCAGGGAGAAGGGGAACAAACAGCTGCTCTGATGGGATGAGCTCAGCCCCTCCAGGTGTCCCAGGAACACAAACACGTGCCCTGGCAGCCACGGTGAAGGCAACGGGACCGGCACTGACTGCATCACTCAGAAGTGGGGCAGCAACAGTACAGGCATAGCTGCCCTCTAGCTTCTTGCTGGGGCTCCATCACATGCATTTATTGCAGTTTCATGTGCCCACACTGGTGCAGAATAGGTGAAGTCCTGAGGGGATCTGGTTATCCCACAGCTCTGAGGCAGGCACAGCTCCAGGGAAAGAGGGAGGCTGGGAGAGAAGAAATGGTCTGGCCAAAAACATGTCTAGAAATCCCCAGGGTCCTGCTGGAGAGCAGTGCTAGAGCCAGGTTCCTCCCCACTGAGCTGAGCAAGTTCCTCTCTGCAGCAATCAACGCAATGTTTTCTCTTCTCAGAATCAAGGATTGCTCCATCAGACAAAAGATTTTCCTCCTACTGGGTCCTTCCTCAAAGATGGGGCTCTATCTACCATCCACTGCTGTTCTCCTTCAGGAAACACATGTATGAGTGAGTGTGGTGAGAGAGCACCCCACATCTTTGTAATGTCTACGACATCCCAGCATCCACAGTGTGAAATCCCCATTCGGTTTCAGGTCTTCTCTTTGCCTTTTTTTCCAACCACTTCAGCATTTTTGAGCTTCTGAAAGTGTAGGAGTTTCTACTTTTTTGCATAACTAGGAAATTGAGATCTGTGGTTTATCTACTTGTTTCCTGTGAAACACAAAGGGACAAGAGATTGGGGGAGTGTGTGGGGTGGGGTGGGGTGTTTAGATAAGGCTGCCTAGAGAGTACAAGGATGAGCATGCAGTATCATGAAGAGAGATTTTTCCCTGGGTCCCACTGGCATAAAGAGAAGACTGCAATCACATTTGTCTATGGAACTAGACATCCTGGCTGTGGACTTGACTTCTGAGAAGTATCCCTCGCTCCCAAAGAGATGTGCTGCCGCTTGCTGTCACTGTAGCTCTCAGGCTGTGGTTCAACGGCCATGGCAGCCCTCCTCTCTTGCCAAGGGGCCCTGCAGTGCTACCCAAGCACCCTCTTCTTCACCAACGTTAGTGACATTTTCTGCTGTAAAAATCCTTTCCCACATGGCAGTGTTTGCCACAGAAAAGTTTTGTTGACTAGGAGGTGTTTTGAACAACTTGACAAGGAAGGGGCATGGAGGGTGAGGGATGGTCCATCCATGAAGATATGGGCAGCACTGATGGAGAGCTTGGTGCTCCCCATCAGGCTGCCCTTTCCCATCCAAGCCTCAGCCCTGACATGGGCTGGGACTGCCAGGATGGGAAAATGGCTCAGGGAAAGCAGGAGGAAGGCATGCCATGATTCAGCAGCACTCCTTTTTGCAATCAGCATTCCAGCTGCCAGAAGAAGGCAAAGTTCCTGTTTGAAAATGTTTTCAGTTGAATATATCATAAAAAGTAATAACAGATATTTCAAGATGTAAACAGTAGCTCTTTTCCTCTAGCAAGAAAAAAAAAAGCAATAAGGCAATTACAGCCTTTGTGTGTCGCTAGATGTTTACTAACATGTAACATAACTCTAGGGATCAAAAGTGGGGGAAAGAAACTGGATTAAAGGAAATGTGGGCTTTTTTTAACTGAAAGTGTGCACCATAAAACCATTATGCTGAGAGGATGACTAATGTAACCAGTGTGTGTTTTGAAGCGTGTCATGAACACTTTTTATGCTTTCTGAACACACAAAGAGAAACCCCAGGAGAGAATTAATTTACAAATCTGATTAAGCATAGTGCCTAAGTGGCAAAAAGCATCATACAATAAATAGTAGACTCCACAGGTGCGCAAAGCTTTAAAAAAATAAAACAAACATACTCTACAAAGAGCCCAGATGTGTGCATTTTGGATAGTTTAATGTGTTTGATTAGATGTCAGTGATACAGACAATGAAAACAGAGGTCACGTGGAAGTAATAATACTGACCTCTTCTTCATTAAGCCATCATACTGCCTGCTAGTGTAAAGCACATATCTGAATTTGGAAAGCAAAGGCAAGGCTGTAAACAGAAGAATGAGTCCTAGGATAAGGATTTTCTGCTCAATGTCAAAGAAGACTTTAAGAGTATTGTTTGGCCAGTCATAGAGGAATAAGCAGGGGTGGACCAAGAACCTGCCACCTCCTGGGGTTTTTTTCCCCTCACCAGACACAACCTGTTCCCCCACCACTGACCCACAGAGTAGGGCCAATCTACCCCAGCACCAAGTCTTTCCCCTTGGGTGCAAGACCTATGCTGCTTCGCACAAGGTCATAACAAGGTTCTGCTCCAGCCACTTTTGGCACCAGTCTTGGCTCCTTGAGTCTCAACAAAAGCTACCTTTTGTGTGGGTTGTGTCAGCCTTTGTTCATTCACAGTTATTGGGTAGTTTATGATAATGTTTCAGAACTGAGCAGTACTACTGCTCAGCAATCAGGGATTACCTCTCTTCAGGGACTTCCTGAGTTCACAGGAGTTTGGATGCTAATTACAATACCTTGTAGCCATAGATCAGGGGCGCCTTCAAACTCCAGACATGTTTATTAGAAGTTAAAGCTTTAAGTCTAACCAGTGCACTTCTGAATATAATACCTATCTTTTTATACAAGGGGAATATACTTTTACTAATCTTCTCACCCCCCTGGCATAACTGACAGCATACATAACACTTAAACAACCCTCATCATTTAATTCAAAAACAGAGAGGTGACAGAGTGACCTGGCATGACTTACACTTTCCCATGTGAGTGAGTGGTGAAATGCCCTTTCCTAATACTGTCATGGCAGTTGTCTGATATAGGTCTACCTTTCACCATCCTTAGCACATCCAAATGGGAGGCAAAAGTGAAAGTCCATCCCCATGTTACACTGGTCCCAGTAAACAGAAGAAGGACCATTTTGTGGTGAAAGCCCTGAACTGGACTCGAGGTATCCAAGTTACTACAAGTCACTACAGGTATCCCATTCCTCTACTAAAGAGATCCAGGGATTTTTCTGGTTTTCTACTTCCCCTTTCATAGGGAAGATTTATTCGTAACTACTTTCTCCTACCTTTGTCTGTTTTCTCTGTGTTGACTGAAAGGTTTTCACATTAGAAAAAGCTCTCTCACTGTGTGTAGGTCCTCTAGACTAGTCTCCTGTAGATACCAAGAGAACAGTAACAATGAAGAAGAACTGAAGAGCTGCCAGTGTCCTGAGAAGGTGGAAAAAGGAGAATCCATTTAGTAATGCCCTGAAACTTCTTTTCTGCGGGCTGGTAAAACACACATTCACTTACACAATGCAGGCACTGTCAGTGAGGCAGGAAGTTGTGTCCTCGGTATCAGGTCTCTGTGCTGTAACTGCAGGGAGTCCAACACCTTGGACGTGGCTCAGGCAGAGAATCTGTGTCACACGAAAGAGAGGAATGGAAACAGCGTGAAACCATCGGCAACAAAGGAAGGCGAACAAAAACAGGACAGAAGGGATCAGAGACACAGAGCCAAGTACAAGGCAAAAAAACAGACCTGTGGAAAGCTGGTAGGAAAACAAATAAAGTAAGTTTGAATTCTCCATCCTGCCTCCCAGTTTCTTCCACCTCACTAGCTCCTTGTTACTGAAATTTTCTCCCAGTGCTAAAATCAACACAAAGGATGTGGCATCCCACATGACACTTGCAGGGTAAAACATCTGCTTGAGGATGAATCACAGAATCACAAAATATCCTGAGTTGGAAGGGACCCACAAGGATCATCAAAGTCCAACTTCTGGCCCTGCACAAGACACTCCCAAGAACCCCCATGTGCCCAAGAGTGTTGTCCAAACACTCCTTAAACTCTGTCAGGCTTGGTGCTATAACCACTTCCCTGGGGAGCTTGTTCCAGTGCCCAACCACCCTCTGGATGAAGAACCTTTTCTGAATATCTAACCCACCCTGACACAATTTCAGGCCATTCCCTTGGGTCCTGTCACTGGTCACCACAGAGAAGAGATTAGTGCCTGCCCCTCCTCTTCCCCTCACAAGGAAGTTGTAACTTCAGTGAGGTCTCCCCTCAATCTCCTTTTCTCCAGGATGAACAGACCAAGGACCTCATCCACACCCCATACAGATTCTCCTCAAGGCCTTTCTCCATCTTCATTGCCCTCCTTTGGACTCTCTTTAATGGCTTAATATCTTTCTTATATTGCAGTGCCCCAGACTGCCTCAATGTTCACGGTGAGGCTGCCCCAGTGCAGAGCAGAGCAGGACAATCCCCTCCCTGGACCGGTGGCGATGCTTTGCCTGATGTCCCCCAGGACAAGGTTGGCCCTTCTGGCTGCCAGGGCACTGCTGACTCATAGAAAGGTTTGCATTTTGCATACATCACATTTAGCAGATACAGTGCTGTGTGGGTTACAAAAGCCTGGGTCATAACCCCCACATGCTACAGCATCTTAGATTCTGGTCCCCAAACAGATAGAGCAGTTTAAGTGGTATTTTTTTGCATGCAAGATTGCTTTTGGCAAGTTGTCCCTTTTGGAGGCCATTCTTTTTTACTTCCATGATGTCAAAGAAGTGTTTTGGGGTTGCTGAGCAAACGTCTCTCCTTTGCTGGGATTTAGTGCCTCAAGCAAAGCCCCGAACCCAACACTCACCTTGAAGGTTTAGCTGGGAAGAATTATAAGGGAAGCTGCACATAGGATCATTGTTTGGCCAGACCTATGCATCCCACCTGTGAGCCCTAAAAAAAGTAATCACTAAATCAGTCCTATCCACACAGCTATAGTAGGAGTCTGACAACAGTTAGATACTCATTAGCACGATTGATTTCCCATTATCTAATTAATTACTTTAGATTTCACATTTTTACATTACCTGCTTTGCCATTTGTCCAAGAACAGCAAATGGCCCATCACCACAAAGTGATGGCACTGAATTTGTACCTTGCATTTTTCCTCAAATTGGTGCAAAATTCCAATCAGGCACTGGCAAGAGTGGCCCAGGAGGTCCCTGGGTGCTCCATCCCCTGCCTGAGGCTGGAGCCAAGCCTCTTGCCAGGCTCTCATGCTGGAGCTGCCAAAGGTTCCCCAGGTAGCCTAGCCCAGTGCCTTGCTGACCTCATCAACAGAACATTTTGCTGATATCTGACCTCCTTGTTGCAGCTTCTTCCTCTCTTGGATGCTGAAAGCTGATGATTTCCTGCTTGCACTAGCTTTTTTGTTGCATAAGGAAGGGAGCTTGTTACAGTCATCCCACCTGACACTTCACTGTTTCCGTATGTATACCACAAAAAGAGAGTTGGCCATTTTCCTTGCTTTAGGTGGAGTAAGAGAGTGCAAGACAGTGTGAAATAAAGCCCATAATTTTTTATTCTAAACCATACGTTACAGATACAGTTCCTACGGAGTGCTCATCTAACATTCAGTTTCATTTCTCCATAGGAGTAATTAGCTTGCAATGAGGAAAATCATTTAATTAGGCCCACAACTGATTAGAGCCTGGTGCATAGCCTATCGAAATAAAGGAGAAGACACAAATTGATTTCAACGTGTTTTGGGTCAGACCCAATCTTCTAAAGCAAATAGAGAGATAAGACAGCATCTGCTGAGTATTCACCTGCCAAGTCTTTGTGCTGATCTCTAATTTTAGGTCCTACAGGCAATTGTCCAGGTTATTTACCACCTGGGATGTTTTGATCTTCTCTCAAACGTGTGTATTGATGTATGAGCTCTCTTATCTCTACCACGATAACACTGGCCCAACTATACCAGCAGCATGAGGCTCAGGATCAATACTGATTCCTCCATCATTCAGCTGAACAGCATTTTATTTACCTAATTACTAATATCTATTAAGGGCCTGGACTGGAAAATCTTGACTAAGCAGTCTAAAATGCGTGAGCTGGACACGCTATAGAAATGCAGAGTATTATCATCACTGCACAATATGGGATGTAACTACAATCTTCCCGTCACAGATTCACTTGGTTCCCTTACAGCTAATACAAATAAGTGACAGAATCCTATGGCTGGCAGTAGATTTCATTCAGCCACATTAGGTATTATTTTTTCCCTACTGGGAATAGAACTCAGCAATTTGCTTACATAATTACTGCAGGCCTATAAATATGTTACAGATATCTGTCCTGTGATAAAAACCTGTTCTCCCATATAGGTATGTAGACACTTGGCTCCTGGAGAATGGCTGTATGGAAAGACATCACGGGTCCACCTCTAATTTCCTTCTCATCTCAAAAGCTGATTCAAAAGCTGATTACAACTCAGTAGATTTTGCATGTCCAAGCACCCAGGTGAGCAATTTCCATGCTTAAATTTGTAAATATAACTTCTTCTTTCTTGGTTCCTCCTCCATAATAAATATTCTATAAACTAACAGCCTCTATCTATTTTATTGGTCTCCATAGGACACATGAACTCATTCTTCCACATCCAGACAGATTTTCAGACAAAAGTGCAATACGAATTCCTTGGAGCTTCCTCTTATAAACTCAGCAGACATGACTGACAGATACCTAGGATGCTGGTACCTTGGGTAGAGAAAATGCTATGTTTTTTACTGTACAGAATCACAGAATCAATTAGGTTGGAAAAGACCTCTGAGACCATCGAGTCCAACCTATGACCGAACACCACCATGTAAACCAGACCATGGCAGTAAGCGAGTGCCATGTTCTAAGCATAGATGTCATTGAGACTTTGTTACTGACTGATTTTGTTCATAAAGCCCAATTGCCTCCCTCCTGAAGTGGACATTCTGTTTGCCAAAGGCAGGCTGGCTTCAGCTCCCTTTGCTAGCACATGTGCACAACCGTGCTCTGTTTCTCTCTCTGTCCTGGACTGCAGCAGGGTGCTAAGTATTAAGGCAGAATATTCTTTTACTGCTATATGATGGGTTTTTGTCAAAGTTACCTAACAAGAAGGCCACTCTAACAAAGTGTATCTGAGCCATGATTTCTTCAAAGCCTCTTTGCATTGCACTAGTCTATATATTTTGTGGAAGCTTAATGCAACAGAAGTGTACACAAAGCCCCTTGTGGAAGCCTAATGCAATACAAGCATACACAAGGCCCCTTTCCTACACCAAGGGAATGTAATAAGACCATGACATGCCTGAGATTCAGATCTGAAATCATGTAACAAATCCTTACTCTGCAGTATATCTTAATGCCAAACATGCCAGACTGGGGACTGGGACACCCAGCCCTACTCCCAGCCCTTCTCCTGCCTTTGCTGAGTGACGCTGGCCAATTGTTTCACCACTGCCTTGTTTCTTTTTTGTCTTTTAAAACGAAAGCGGTGACACCACTGCCTTCTGTGAAGTGCTTCCAGTGTGGCAGCCTCAGTGAGGATTTTTAGGATGATGCTGTTCAAAATTGCCAGGCATGGTTTAGGCAGAGCGGGATGATGGGAGTAAATCAGCGTCTCTCAAGCTTTTCAATCTATTCCTCACTTCAATCAGTTAAGAATAATTTCATGCCTGATCACAGAAATGGCTGCAGGGGCTGGCGGCAGGGTACTGCACGTCTCGCTGCTCGGGGAGTGCTGGCGGAGAGGGGCAATCGAGGTCCCTGCAGCCAAACTCTCAAGGACGCTAAGATACAAATGTTGTCTTTCATAATAACAGCAATTAACAAGAAATGAATGTTACAAGGGACTGGCATTCAGTTTGAAGTACCTTTTTTTTTTTTTTTTTAGATTTGACTTTTAAGCGTGTGTGTACTATAGTGTTACATAAATCCTTGCTAAATCCCAAACAAAACCAGGAAAAATTCAATTGTTTTGGGAAAGCCAGTGACTCAAACAACTGGACAAGGCCAGACAGCAAGCTGGACTAGTGAGCATCACGTAGAGAGCCCACCAACTCAAATGTGTGGGAGCCACTCGGGTCCATAGGACCCCACAGTATCCATTGTACTTGCTGCTGTGGTCCTGGACCAAGCTACTCTCCAAGCCTATGCCTGGGTTCAGTTCAAGGGGTGTGACAGGTCAAGGACCAACCCAGGAAGCACATGGGGTGAGATTGCACAAACATGACCCCTCCACACCACACAGTCCCTCAACACTGCAGCAGCAACTCGTTAACCCTGATACCCCACATACCTTCATTCACGTAACCTCAGCTATAAGGTCTGAAAGCAGCTCCCTAATGGGCTGCCACGCATCTTCAGGCACTTTGAACTTAAAAAACTTACCCCAAACTAAAAGCAAACCACACATAAAATAAAGTGATGACTAAAAGCCACATGTGTGCCAGTAGCAGTCCAGAGGAGATACAGGGCCAAGCCCTGCCCTCTGAGATCAGGGATGGAGAATGGTCTTTGATCCCACTTTACTTGAGAGAGTAAATAGAATCAGTGTCTCCAACTGGGCTTGGGCACTTACAAAACTGTTACTTCTGAAACTTCTTTCTATTCAACTTTGAGGTGTTTTGGCTTCTGCACCTAGGAAACAGAGTTCGTGATCTCAATCACAGGTGAGATGAGAAATTAAATGGGATTTGAAATGCTGAGTCAAGGAGCTGAAATTTGTCAGTGGCAGCCCTGAGTGCAGATCCCCTCCTGTGCGGGAAGACAACTAACTCTTTGCTGATTACTTAAACCTTGCAACACTCAAGGAAACAGGGGGATGGACTCCAAGGCACAGTGTAGGGGGTTATCTTTGGACATAGGGATAAGATGCAGTAGAGAATTTAAAAAGATAGAAGAAAGATACATTCAATAGCTGCAATGAGCCAAATATGAAAAGCAGCATAGGCCTAATTATTTTTTTAAGGCCATAGGTGGGGAATAGTGAATGAAGTTGCTTAAATAATTGATTGTCAGCTTCAGACCTCTGCCCTCACCACAGCTCACGGCAGTGAGCTGTTCTGATGTCACTGATCTCACATGCTATGTCATGCCACAGGACGGATTTTGGAAAAGAAAGGCACTGTAACATTTAAAATTGTAAATACTACCACTCCAATCACCAACTGCAGGCAGCAAAGAAACCACAAACAGTTCAGGTTTTGGGGTGTGGCTGCTGATGGCTGTCCCTTCTGCTTCTAAATATAAAGTTTTTCAAACTTCACCATGAAGTGACAGCTACCCCTTATCACTGAAGGCCAGCTGTTTCTTTAGCACTCAGCTGTTCCTGCTGCTTGCTCATAGTAATGGAAAAAAGCTATTTAGAGACGCAAATCTGCACAGCCTTCGAGCACATGTATCTTAGAGCCCGTCCTTCAGATCTTAAAGTAATTCGGTTGATCTTCTTTCACACCCATTTTACACCTCTGCACCCACACTGACACCACCAAGGCTAGTCCTGGTTCCCTGGCAAAAATAAAACCACATCCAGAACTAATCCTTCTAGGTATTTTAAAAGTTTTTATAGTGCCTCCTGAGACGGACTCAGTTGAGTTCACTCCCTGGGAGATGCACCTACAGGTCAATGTGTGTCACTGCTTGTTTGGAATAAGCCAGCCCATACACTGTCCTTCCCAAATGCGTGTGGGTTTACTCTGGATTTCATCAGCAGGGGCTCTGTGTGTGTGTGTGTGTGTGGTTTACACAGATTCTTACAGTTCAAGCAGATTAAAACAGTTTATGACTCCTGGGGCCAAGAGCCACCATGAACAGAGATCATCTGGCTTTTGTGATTGCACTTGTCCCCATTTTGCAGTGCTCAGCACCACTGCATGACACTTACTCATGCATAGTCCAGCTGGCTCCAGTGGCTCCTCTCTTCCCAAAGCAGCCTTTCCATGCAGGGAAGGCTAGAAGGACAGGGCCCTGGAAAGTAACAATATCAATGTGAAATTGTGCTCGATGACCTTAAACCAACTATCTTCAAAATACTTCTGCCCACACTGAACAGCAGAGAGAGCAATCATATTGAGTCTGTTTTTTACCCCAGGAGTGGCTAGAGGTTCTGGGTTTGGGTGCCAGGGAGTGCAGGGGAGGCTGAGGCAGCTTCAGTCCAGCAGTCAGAGCTCTGAGGAGTGTTTGGTCATTGCTCATTGTCACCAATGGCCAGTGGGGTGCTCACCACGGGCCATGCACCCTCCTGAAGCACTGCCCTGTGCAGTCTGTGCTTCTTTGGACTCCTGCGTGTTTCCAGAGGCAAACAGTGTGTGCTCATAGTGTGGTGGGGAAGAGCAGGAGAAGCTTCAGACCTTCAGAGCTTCAGTAAATCCACACCTGAATCCTGGGCTTTCATACAAGCATATACCACTTTCACCAAGGTGCATTTATATACCCGGCACATTCATCTTCCTTTCTGGATGTGTGACTGATTCCACAGCGCATGTACAAAACAGTTTAAGGTACGTTTAGACACGTATACAAAGAAATATAGGTGTTCTGAAGATCTGAGGTCCTGCTGGATTGCTGTGGCTGCAGAAGAGAATGGTGCCTTATCTATACCTCTTTGCATCTTTTTCACTAAGTGCCCTATGCATGTGGTCAGGCAAAGGGAACTTTCTTTCCTGTGTGGACAACACAGACCTATGCATATATGGTTTCATGCTGTTTCGTAACAGAAAGCAATGTCAAATAGTGTCTAAACCTACTTCCAGTTAACAGCAAAACTACCATAAGTTTCAATGGGTTTACAGTAAAAACTGCACTGTCTCACCCATATGCAGTAGAATTTCAACAGTTCAAGCAGCGAGTGGAAAACGTTGCAGCAATTTCTTTTTTACCTTAGCAAACTATGCACCAAATTCCCTTCCACCTTGTAATTCACGGAGTCAGACGTTTTCCAAACAGATATAAAATTCTCTTAAATTACAATCACAATGTTGCTTTCTTCACTGTCTTGTATTTTCTCTCATCCCTTGTGCCTGGACTAAACGGCAGTAAAATGTGATCTGTGTTTCAGCAATGTTCAAGACGCACATTACACTTGTGCATCTGAGGCAACAAGATACAGATTTAATACAAAATCAGGTGTAATGTATATGTGGCTTTACCTCAGTGCTGCAAAAACAGTAAAGCATAATCCTTGTTTTAATCTGAATTGCTGTTATCCTCTTAAAGGGAAACTGGCTGACATCTTTTGCCAAGGAATAAACACACAGGACAATATTCTGCATCCCTCCTATATGCTGAATAGCTCTTACCCAAACAGCTCTATTAAAACCAACGGGACCACTTGTGTGCCTAAGTGCTATCCTGCAGGAGGGCTGATTACAGGCTTCGGCACTTCTGGCCTGAAGATGTACCGACGTGTGATCACAGCACAGCTTAAACTACGCCTATTTTAAAACTAGTTGCTCGTGTTAAAACCAGCCAGTTTCAGGCAGCAGCTGTGCAGGAGCCATCTGAGATAAGGATGCAGAGCTAGCAGCGTGAATAGGGTGGTGTGGACAGGAAAGGTGCCGGGCTCCTTCCTGCTCAGCCTGCACGCCAGGAGCCGGGCTATTCTGGTAGATGGATTCTGTGTACCCAGATGACGACAGGCAGCTCCATGTGCTGGCAAGGGGTGGAAAGCCGGCAGTAACTCTGCCCGCATTTCTGAGAGCTTCCCATTGCTCCTTTTATCACAGCAGGCCGGACTATTGCGTAGAGTTCAGCAATTCCTTTAAAACCTCTGTGCGCGTTTTTACAGCACCGCTTGTCTTCCTCTCCCGCCCGCGCACTGTGAGGGGGGTCACGGGTGCTCGTGCCGGACACGTTTTTACAGCATCTCTGCGCATCCCATTTGTATCGTCTTTTCCGTTCCGATTTATTTCTTGCGGTACTCCCCACCACGGACTCCTCCACCCCCGTCCCGGTCCCTCTCTCCCCCTTTCCCTCCCGTTTCCCAGACCCTGCCCGCCCTGCCGCGTCCCCTCACGGCTCCGCGCGAGGGGAGGAGCGAAGTCTTACCCGGACCCCGCCCCTCCGCCTGCCTCTTCCTCACGGCAACGCCACGCCCCCGCCCGCCCATTGGCTGCCCCCGCCCCGCTCCCCGCCCCCCCCGCCGCGCGGCACGCGCCTCCCGCCCCATTGGCCCCTTCCCCGCCCTTCATTTGCATGACGCCCCAGCCACCAATGGGCGGCTGCTGCCTGCTTAACATGCAAGGAGGCGGCCAATCAGCGGGCGCGGGGGCCGGGCCACCACGTGCTGTTGCTAAGCTTCGGCTTCTAAATTGTTACTACACGGGCGGCCAATGGGCGCGGGCGGCGGGGATCTGTCAACATCCCCGGCCCCGCCGGGGGGGCGCTCTGCCCGCCGATTGGCCCCGCCACCGCCCCGCGTCCCGCCCCCGCGCCCGTCCGCGGCCCCCGATTGGCCAGACGGGCTGCCCGTCGGCCGTGTGTCAAATGTAGGTTGAGCGAGGTGCCTTAAAACCGGGGGCTCGGGAGTCCCCGCGCGTGAACTCGGCGCGGGGGGCTCGGGACGGGCAGCCATGGAATTGAACTCCCTGTTAATCCTCCTGGAAGCGGCCGAGTACCTGGAGCGGAGAGACCGAGGTACAGGGCGCAGGCGGGCAGTCGGTCAGGCACCCGCAGGCGCTCCCCGCCGCTCTCGGCCTTTGTTGTGCGGCGGCCGGGCCGGGGCAGCGGCCCCGCGCCCGCACCTGCCCGGGGGGGACCCGGGCTGCGCCGGCGGCACCGCGCTGGGGGAGCACCGCTGCTCGGAGCCTGGCTTGTTTTTTATATATATATATATATAACCCCCCAAACAAACCAGAGGCGGGTGTTCTGTGCCGCCCTGGATGGGGACGGTGCGTGTGCAGCGCTCAGGATCCCTCTCGCTGCTCCGTGTGTGGCAGTCGGTGATTGTATGGCAGCTCCCCTCCCCCAGCGCAGCGTGACAAGGGTTTGCATGATCCGCCTCGTTTTTAGTGTGCACTCCAATAATCCTCCTAATTTCGGCACTTCGGTGGTGGTTTTTTGTTTTGGTTTGGGTTTTTTTTCCCCCTTTTGGTTTACCGAGTTATGTTTTTTTTTTGTGTGTCTCGCTTCTTTAAGAGATGCCAGAATAAAATGCAAACAAATCAACCGGAAAAATTCTGTTCTTTACCCTAGCGTTCCTGCAAAGGAGGAAAAAATTGCATGGAAAAAATATATTGCCACTAATGCTGACTTTGTCCCTAGAAGCAGAACATGGCTATGCATCAGTGTTACCCTTCGATAGTGACTATTCCAGAAAGAAAACAAAGGCAGGCACCATGGCCAGAAAATCCCAGAATAACAGGTAATAGACGCACCGCTTTTTCAGAATGAATCGGCAGCTTTTCCAATGTGTCTATCTTATGTGCAGTGCATACATTTATGAAAAATAATAACTAATCCAGTGTCTCAGTTTTCCCCATCCCGGTAGTCGCCATTTTTCCCCTGGATGGGCTTGGCTCTGTTTTGATCTCTCATATAAACACTGCCACGCGTACACCATCTCCTTAGTACTCACTGCACTTCTGAGCCATCCGCCCTCATCGCTCCTTCTGCTCCGCGCTCACCGACAGCGGCTTTCGCTGCAGACCCAAACACCATCATCGCCACCCAGATTTCTCTTTGCATGGCACTAATTTCCCCCCCCCCCGCCCCCCGGCATTTATTTATAAACCACAGGCAGCGATCCGGCCGCCTCCCCCCCCCTCGCAGCCCGAGCAGATGCAGCCTCCGGTTGCGGCGGCGCTGGGCTGCGGGCGGAGGAGCGGCGTGTGCGGGGCGGGGGGGGGCACCCACCGCAAACTCCAACTTATCCCGCCGGCCCGAGGTGAGGGGATGCCGGGGCGAACCTGACCTCCCCGTGCGTTCTGCCGCACCGCCGGGTCGCCAGCCCCTCCTGCCCGCCCGCCGCATGCGGATCTGCCACAGCGCACGGCTCGGCCGTCCCTCGTGCCGGCGATGGCCCGCCCGCCGCTCCGCCGCGCTGGCGGCGGGTCTGTTGTTCCCCCGCAGCCGCCGCTACCTGCGCTGCGATGGCAGGGGCCGAGCGCTGCTGTGCGCAGGCTCTGCAGCTTTGTTTGCTGCTTGGGCAGCGGCTGTGTACGTGCGGGAGACTTCCCTGTCTTACAGGGACACTGCCGGCCCCTGCCTAGAGCGAACCCAGCCCCGTGCTCTGCCTGCTCTGCTTTGCTCTTCCAGGGCTGCTCCGGAGAGGACCGAGGACCGTGCCCAGCTTGGGCCTGCTTCGTCCCGGAGCAGCGATGCTCTGCCCCAGCGCAGGCTCCGCTCTGCATGGTCATGCTGAATGGTGGCTCCTGTAGAATAGCCTAAAATGAACTTGGCTTGCACGTGACTTGTTTTCCAAAGGAGCAGAGAGTCTCGGCAGGCCCGCTCGGCTCTTGCTGCTCCGGCGGGCATCCTGCACAGCGGCGGGGCAGCCGGGTCGGGTGGTGCTGGGGAGGTGCTGGGCAGATGGCCAGGAGCTGCTCGTGGGGCACCGGAGGTGCAAACCGAAATCAAAAGCTGACGAGCTCCCTCCTCGAGAAAAACACGAGCTGGTGAGCGCCCTGTTCGTGCCTGCCGTGGCTCTAGCAGTGTGTCTTGAAGATTAACTGAGGGGGAGCAAATTGTTCCCCTGTGCCCCTGCTCTGAGAAAGGCAACCATTTTGGGGGGTATTGATTGCAGTACTCCTACTTTTTTCAGTTTTAGTTGAATTCTTTGTCTCATCTTGGAGCACAGAGAAGACGTCAGTGCATTTTGAAAAAGAAAGTCATCAGGAGTGGGAGGCGTGTCTTGTGTCCTGAGACACTTCGGTCCTGGAGATTTTTTATTATTTTCTTATAAAGTATGATTGCTGCCTTTAAAAAAAATTCAAAACAGGTTTCATAGGATTTCTAGCTGCAAACTGCTCCTGGATTTGTACAGATTTCTTGTCTGTTTCTTGCATTCAGGAATTCTGTGTTACTTACAGAGCTATTATTCCATCGTTTTCCGTTCTTAGGGCTCTTGTCATCCACTTTAAAATAGTTATTTGTCTGAACTGTAAGCTGCTTTCAGGAGTTTTTAGGAGAGGATTTGTAATCTATCAAATACAGCAGAATTAAAAGATTTTTGGTTACAGATTTGCTGGTGTTATTAAAGCTGAGGCAGACACATCTACTTGCAGTTACCCTCCTGCTTTTTTTTCTACCTGCAGACTTATGTTTATTTACCTGTTCAGTGTTTTGCTCTGATTCTCACTCCATAGCAGTGGCAACCTTCAGAAATGCCATCCTGCAGTGTGCAGCAGGATGTTTACTTAGACTTTCTTCTAGCTGCAGTGGTTAGATGAGGAATGGGTCGTCTGTGTAACAGGACAGGAGGATGCTTGTCCAGGAATTGTTTCCAGTGTGGTCACCGCTGGGACAGTGGTTGCCCTGGTTAAGCACGGACACTGGCATGGGAAGCAGGGGCACATTACTTTAATGCAGCTCACTATTCCTTCAGGGACAGGGCAGTAGCAGCAGGGCCCTGTGGGCACCTCTCCATTGTCCTTATGGGCTCTGTGCCTGTGTCCAGCAATAGCTGTTCACATTTGCCTGAGTGCTTAGATTTATGGGGGAGAAATTACCTTTATATTTCAACATACAGTTGAAAATCCATGAGGTGCACCAGCATTACTGTCTTATTATTACTTGGAGCTTAGAGGCTATAGGGGCCAAGCCCCAGACTAGAGTCTGAATTTTTTATAAGACAGTTAATTCTTCCTAAGCAATTCAAAGACTAACAGAGGGAGACAACTGCTCAAAGTTCCTAGGATCTGGAGTGGTCGTGGATGATGGGCAAACCACTGGGCAAAGTGTTTGTCCGTATTGTTCCACCTTAACCATTTTGCAGACGTGCTGAGTTCAGAGCATCAGAGGCAGGCAGGTATGACTGTATACATGCCTGAAATTCATGCCTTATTATTGCATTATTTTTCTGGATATAAAAATATATACTTAAGGTCGGAGGAGTAGGAAAGGAGCAGATAACCACACATTTCAAATCTGCAGGGGCATTGTTTTCATCATCTATTTTTGTATCCTGCTGCTTGCAGCATCTGATCAGATTAAAAAGTGAGATACACATATATATGTGTATATATTTTTTTTGTGCTTTATAAGCTTTACATATATAAAAACATGAAAAACATCTTCCTTATTCTTGGAAAATGAGAAGAGAGGGAAGGAGGAGGAGAACTGTCAGATGTGAGGAAGCCTGGTGTGCTGTACCCTTCCTCTTTGTTCTGTATTTTCTTTATATTTCAAAACATGTTGCCTGCCTGGGGGGAGAAAAATGTACCCCATGTAGCACAGGTGTGCTGGGCAGCCCCCATGGGCAGGGGGACATGGATGGATTCCAGCTGCCCTGTTGTTTAGCAGGGGCACTGATCGACACCTTCCTCCGCTGAGGAGGGGGTGATGTTCATGTAAGAAATCATAGCCTGAGACCTCCGTCCCCTGTCGATGGCTGGCAAGGCCCAGACCCACAGGAGAAGGGGGAGGAAGGCTGCCTGTCCTTTGAACGGGATACTCAGGTCTGGGCTAAAAGCTTGCTGGCCTCTTGACTGCGACTAAGTGAGAAGTAATTTTGATAGGTCTGGGTTCATGCAGGGAAAAACACCTGCAGAATTACATTTAATTAACCAAAATCTATAAGCCTTCTGTTCACTGTAGGAATTTAACATTTTTGCTTTGTCCACTGCTAGCTTTAAAATGAAAATTGAAAGCAGGTGTTAGCAGTTTGTTGATAAACAATATTCTCAGGGGTTATTGGTAGCAATCAGACACAATTTTTAGCCATTTATTTTTCACTTGTACATTAAAATAGCTGATGTTATGTGTTTTCTTC